CACCAAGTCACTTAGTTTTTGGTCATAGATCTATGCTATTCAGGTTGCTTGGCTGTAGTCCTTGGAATCTTATGAATCAGTGGCTAAAGACTTCAAGAAACATAGTTCAAAATCGTCCACTGGGAGAGATATATTAACCTTTTATGATAGCAATTCTGTGTACTAGGTGTCTTCACTCGACATACTACCTTTTTCATACTTCTTTATTACTATTGGTATGAGTATCATCGTACTTCAGTATACTGTTTTGGTATAGCGTAAATTGCAAGGTTCTACCTTATTCTGAATAGTTATGCGAAACATTCAACAATTTATATTGCGGACTATTCGCCAGTGGTAGAAGGTGAACGGTCCTTTCGCATTCAAAGATAAGTCTTTTTGGTAATGTAGTTTATCAGGTAGGTGGAGAAGTTAATTTATTTAGCCACCTTATGGGAAGTCAGCGCATTGGCATCATTTGTCATAAAGAAAAATTTCGTACTTGTTATCTGAAATATATTCACTTTGTCATTTTGTAAAATATATAACAGCTTAGCCTCACAACTATTTCGTATCTGTAGGGTATCGATCAAAAGACTAAGAATTGTTTTTATAAAGCTAGAAAATTTAATCTATTTTTAACCTGAATGAAATCGGAATAAACATTTCCAGTAGAAATAAGTAATTTGAAACTTTCAGTAGATAACCTCTCGATTTCAATGTTCGAATAGAAAATTTTACAAGAGCGTGATCCTTGCAAATTAGTTATTTTAGAGGAAGTTAACGTATGCGTACTGCAACAAACATACATGATTACAGGATTTCACCATGAGCTGACATTAGTTAGAGAACCATTGGAAAACCTGGGAGTACTGCACAGTTGTTTCGTCCTAGTTCGGGACTCTTCATCAGTACGCACCTAACATAGGGAGTTCGAACTCAGCACCCTCTGGGTACAAAGCTAACGTGTCCGTAGACCATTAAGCCACTGGGACCCGATCAAATGGCCAGTCCATGAATTCCAACTTCTGCCAATTCACAACATGGGGCGACCACTAGCCAATGTCTTCGGCGAGTATTTGTCCTCACACCCGACCTGCTACACTCTACTGGTCACGACTTCCCACTACATACCTGAATAGGGCCAGTCACCAGTGGGCATCTGATTGATATTCAAGTATTGGCTTGTAGGGATTTGATTGACTGTAGGATCATGTAACCAATCAATCAAATCCCTACAAACCAATACTTAAACATGCATGAATCAACATGTCATGCCTATTTGTTTAATTGCCTTCCAATCCATCATACAAGTACATGAAACAATCCAAAGCTTCATGCTAGTCATATCGGCTTTATCACTACTCTATGTGGGTTATCCTGATGGAGGATATAAACTAATTGTGTGCTGTCTTTTAAAGCGTTTTAATTTTTTGTTAGTACAAAGCTACTACGAAAATCTTTGTCCATTTTGTGTGATCTCGAAATACATAGTTTCATTAGCGTTAAGTGTGAGAACTATTTCCTAATTCAAATCAAAAATAGCATTTTTTTTACATTGAGAAACTGACTATTTTCTTGCTCTTTGGATTCAACATGACCACCAATTAGTTGTTCATCTGCCGAATTTTCGGGGTTCTAGATAGTATCACCAGTCCTCATACCACAGACATGACTCATTGCGAAACAGTTGTTGTGTACCATACCATGCTGACCGGTGAAAAAAATGGGTGTTCCAGAATGAACGACAGAAAGAACCCGTAGTTCTATAAGACTTCATGTTACTCAGAATTGGTCGGCTTTGAGATGGTCGCAGGTTAGAAGAACATAATTTTAGGATTTGTGTGACTTCTGTACATTATAACTTATCTCAGCCGACCAGGAACATTACAGGTCACTGAACCGTTTCTCTACACAGTGCCGCCGAGGGTTTGAAATCTGTTGTTGGTGTTATACTCAGACTAGGACTTGGTAATAAACAAGGGAAGAGTAATTACTTGGAGATTTCGTAACATTATCATTGGCCTAAAATCCCATCTCATCAGTAATGGAAGTTACCACAACAGTTGTTTGTATTTCTAGACAATCAGTTACAACTGCTGTAGGGTTAAATTCGTAAAAACATCTCATCTACGGCTTTGTAGTATTTACTAACTCAAAGATGTATGCACACTTACGTGGTATGTCACAACGCATGCCCTAGATGAAACGGAAATCCATTGCTGTCTACTTCGAAGTGATAAGCTGTGGCATTTCTTTGTCCCGATTAAATGAGATTAGTTTGGTATTTTTAAGGAAATGGGTCTTAAAAATTTATATTAGTGGGGACGACTCCTGAGACAATCGGAACTTTGATGGTGTCTCAAGAGGTTGAGCAGAATACTTTCACGGATAGCTTAAAGATCAACTGCGTTTGACTACTGTAAGATTTCAGCTGGTATGCAGTCTGAACATCTGATCTACAAATCTGGCTTGGATTGCCATTTATAGTGAGAGTTGAGCAAAATAGCAAGAGCTGATGGTTTGACTAGAAACTGAATTAGGGCCCTAGCTGGCGTACAAAATGTGAGACAGTCGCCTCAGACTGTTTTATGAGGGGGGAAATCTCCTGGTAAACATACAAATCAATTTGACTAGTTGAATATGCTAGCATCCTTAATAATACGAGAACATGAAACCCCGCAACTGAAGTCGTTCATCGAGAGATACCATAGTAATCTTTAACTATAAAGCGAGTTACTTATAAATACACAAATGATATGCTCCTTTCGTTTGGAAACACAGTCTTCTTAACTCCTTGGGCGAAAATCTCAATGTGATCTGCACTTATCAAATGTAGGATGGTGCAAGAGTGGTTAGCGCTGCATCCCAGTTCAGGAATGCATGCTCTGATCGATTCTCTCGTCTAAGTTCCGTCAAACTTAATGGACTCGTTGTTTACGAAGACGAAACACTGATAAAGGTCTCTTCGGCAATTGCCTACCTATGTCTGACTGTCTATTAAATTGCGGGTGTGTTGCACAGCGGTCTACTCTCCCCCACTAGAAGGCTGTGAAAAATGGCCGCTGGAAGGTAAGATTACAGGTTTTGAATCATAAGTATACAGTCACTAACAATGACTCATGTCAAGAGTCAAAGGCGACATCTCAACCAAATCAACTTCACAATATCACCGGTTGACTTCCCCTATTCACATATCTTCATAATCAATGACCACAGCACGAGACAGAAAGCAGAAAACTACTGTAAAATAGTAGCCTATTCTTCAAACTGTTGCAAACTACACACCAATAGGTAGTTGAATAGCACACTTGCAAGTTGAACAATGTCAGACAATGCCTTTTATTCATACTGATAGATACTCTCAATTCAGATATCTATCATTAAACTCTCCCACAGCTACATGAGTCCGAAAAGAATGCCTTGAGAAATGAGGTAGACATTTACAAAACACTTTCTACAGCAACGCACGTGAGGTAAAAAGTATACTCCAGTATTAGCTACCAAATATTTACAAAAGGGAACAAAGATATATATATATGGCCGATGAGGTAGGCTTGTTAGATGACCACGAAGGGATGTATGCATCCATGGTTTACCTTCAGACTGACCTTGACCATAAGAGGATAATATACTGTCTACATATCAGTATCATCTTGTAAGAAATCCAGACCCCAACTATTCTGGAAGTGTTGTTAGACTGATATATAATTAAAGAGAGCTCCTTCATACATATCATAAAGTCCAGACCACCTATGTGCAATCATATACATTCTGCTATAATAAACTTAGATTAACAATCACCAGTCAGAAAGTACAGACACATAGCGAGACATATTGGGACTCGACCAACAAACCTGCCTTTTGGTTTTTATAATTCGAAAAGAAACCTCTTTGATTAGAAATCTGCAAGAAGATTCTTGTTGACCGGAACTTAACAGAAATCACTGTTATATTAATGAATTATGGTGACTAACCTTTGGTGCCATTCTAGTAGGACTGCCGGTGCATACAATCTAGTGACAGGGATCTAAGGGTGCTGCTTTTTATCACTGAGTTTAAGGTAAGAACCTGTAATTTTAATGACCTACGTATCAGTATCGAAAGTTATCTCCTGGATATTACGAAAACCAAACTGCATACTACAGTGACACCAGTAGTTTGATAGATGTTTCAAATAATCTAAGTCCGGTTTGTGATATGCAAAAGTTGTTCCTAAATTCCTCCGAGGTATTTACTACCACAGGCGAACGACCGAAACGTACAGTTCCCATCGACCGGGTCAAAACAACATTCAACTCATGTTCCATCACACCTAACCTTACTTTGAGAAACATCTCGATAACTTTCTTATTACCTCTTTTTGAATATATAAGGAATATTTGTTTCCCACCCAACATACCAGCCTATCGCTCATCCTGGCACCGTAAACTTGCCGTACATAACAAAGTGCATTTCACTAGTCTTTTTGAACCACCTGCGAAATAGGCATCTATAACTTTAAGTCACTATAAAGCTATCCTTCTGACACATCTTGCTGTAGATGCATCATACTTCTAACTGCATTGTACTACACTAAACAATTAAACGAACGCGATGCAAAAGTATACAGAAAATATTGTCAATAACAAACTTTGAGCAGGTTGATGTCACCTTACAGTGTAATTACAGGTCATACTCTTATTCCATGAAGACAGTGCAACTTCCAGCATGTTTGTTTGGATAGCTGGAATTTCCGACCCAACTATCCGTACGATGTCCCATCACTACGATTCCGTCAAAATACGCAAATAACGCTGAGCAATATCTAACCTATTGCTTTTAAATCTCTGCATGACTACCTGCAACGACCCAACTGACAAGAAAATTGCACCGACGCATTTTTGACAAAGGCGAAAGTCGCCTCAATAGCATCGTTAACTTTGGAAACGTATTTAAGAACAACAGAAAAATATGTTCCAAATGACACTGGGTCACCTTCAACAAGAATATATCACTCATCATTTAATATCCCATAACCTCATAAATCTAACACATATTGGTGTTGCTCAAGAACGAGTGATATACTGAATATACGTTAACCTTAAGTTACCGAAACAAACTTCAAAAAGCCAACAGTTTAAATTAACACGAGAGTGAATTTATTTGACAGCAAATGAAATCCTAATTCCATAATTAAAATCTACGTCAGACAATTATTTGCTTGACTACTTAAATGAGGAACCTCCAACAGTTTTTTGCCACTGAAACGTTGAGGTAGCTACTTATGTTGGCAGAGTACTTAAATCCGGCATTCGAAAAGTCCTTGAATACGTCCGCCAGCATGTCATTGGAGGAGCCAATACGTTCAGTGGATGAAAGATGTCCCTGTACATCAAACTGGTAAAATTTGAAATGACCTTATCTTCATTACTGTATGCACATACATACACAAATAACTTACAGGATGAATGGATTCCTCGCAATCTGGACTGATACCTACTCGCAGCTATCCGGTTGCAAACATCCACAAGTAAATCCAAAATGCATCCTTAGATGAATCCAAGCCTCCTCCACCACTTAGGTCCTAATGATCAATTAAGTGTCCTCTGATGCCACTGCCAACTAGGAATCCACGGGCGCTTAAGTCCTTTGCAATCCAGAATAACAGAATTATGACATCCTCCTGTTAGTCCTCGGGGTGATGTATCCACCAATCCACTGCTGTGAGGCAGTACACTTCAGTGTTTCTATCCCTTGAAGTGCTTTGGGTCCCACAACTAATCTTCAGTCCCTTCCTCATAGACAATCCTTTCCTCCGTCCATCATCCAGAAAACCTTTAAAAGCAAGAAAACTGTATTGAGATAGTGTAGTTGTGAGTAGAAGAGCCGTAACATTAAATTTCAATTACGTACAAACTTTCACATTTGTTTGTTTTCAGCGTCGTGGGCTTATTGACCTGGAACAGGAATCGTAGGAACGACCCCTGCGCGGTGAATCAAAAGAACGTGATCGAGAACGCGACCCACCAGCTCTTTCTTCGCGAACGCGGATATATGAGGATTCACCCTGCAAAATCAAATCACCCATGCAATAGACATACCTCATGAGAACGGAACTTAGAGTCGTCAAGACGTTTAATAGCATATTTCATATCTTCGTATCTTAGAAATTCAACGACACCAGTGCCGTCGCGGAACACATCTGCATAGCCAACATCACCAGCTTCACGCATGTGATCCTTCAGATCCTGCCAGCTTCCAGTAGGCGGCAAACCTGTCACAATCACTCGGAAGTCTGACCGTCGAGAAGGTCCGCTGCCACCACCCCGATTGAAGCCTCCTCTTCGAAATTGGTTGTAGTTTTGACCACCCCCGTTGTTGAAACCTGTTGTGCGTGGCAGTTCTACTCGCAATGCATATCCATCAAAGTTGTATCCATCCCGTCCACGAACTGCATCTGATGCATCTCTATCAGGAATAATTATTAGCAACAAAAGCGTACAGTTCATCCTCGAATTCAACAAATGCAAATGGTGGACCACGTCTCGGTCCAGCCTTTAGATCGACAGCTGCAATCGGTCCATATTTTGAGAAGAGGTTCTCAATATCACGAGCCTTAGTGTCTGGAGGAAGGTTTCCAACATAGATTTTATAAGTAGTCCTAGACATTATGACGTAGACCTTTAATTCCCGCCCAACAAGTATTCGAGTTAATACAAACAAATCCCTCGGAAAACAAAATCTAGACCACAATTAGTTCTCAGCAGCTTTCATACAAATCATTATTGTCAATTCTTTTGGGGTCCCCAATGATATTTTGTAGAGGAAAGTAAGTTGGCTATCCTTTCCGGGCTTAATTCGGGTCCAATGTTTTGTATTCACCCACACGCCCCATACTGCCGTAGGAGACTAGTGTTACCTGGAGATTATCAGCAGGAGAATTAAACGCTACAACCTTTATGCGAAATTACTTGATACCCATTGCACTCTCACAATCTGGTGAGCAAAACCAACTAGTAGAATCCAAGGTGTGAATTCACAGTATTGTTCTGTTGGCGCTCGCTTGTTTCGGAACGGTTCTGGATTTTAACGCATCGCAAAGCAGACAAAGTTTTCCCTTGACTTCTATAATTCCGCTCTGTACAATAAATAAGGGGAGGAACTTTAATTCATTTCGAAGGAAATGTGTGATTTTCAACAGGGTGTTGGTGTTGCAGAGATAGGTGAAGTATTATAACGTAAATTTAATTGAGACTAAGTAACTTTTCGTACACTTGTGTGAGTACTTTTTGAGCGACTCCCACTATGGCCACGTGAATTATGTAATATTTCAGATCCTGTAACAGGAAACAAATCAGTAAAATTACACTGATTTTCTTGAGTGAGGTGACACAATAAGCAAAAATGGTTTGTATGGGATTTTAAGTCGGCGAAATCGAAACAGTGGAAAAATAATTTTCAAGTTACAAATTATCTCTTGCTTCTTTTGGGCGACTAGTTTAGCAACAATATATTTTGATTTCGTTACGTTTTTCTCAGATTATCAGCTCGTGCTTCTGCTTGCTAGTCTATTAGGAAAGGCAGAGTGTAGCCACTGTCTGTCGGGTCATTTTCTACACACAAGGGTCTTGAATGAATTATTCCAACCATATTTCACCTCTTTTTGTAAAATGTATGCACCTTTTACCCAATGACTCCACAGGCCTCTCCGTTTCGGAGAAGTGACAAGTCATCTGTGTCCGTATCGGATCCACAACTCAGCAGTATTACTAAATCGTTGCCAACATGAAATTTTGATGACAAGCTGGCCTATTAGATTCCATTATCATCGAAGGCGGAAAATCCATTCCGCTCACGATGTTTGTCTTTGAATAATCTCAAATACAAATTTACAACCGCGACAAGCTTAAATTGAAGCATGTCATCTGTTGTTAATTTAAGCTCCACAAATATGTCGTGAATACGGGTACTTTCAGCAGCTTTATTAGATATTTGTCAACCACTTCTAATTGTGTCAATTAGCTCATTTATGTTTCGACCTCTGGTGTCTTATTCGATTCATGATCTCACCGATATGGGGTTGGTTTTGGCATTGAATGTTCCATGACTTATGATACGGACAAAGTCAATTTACTTTTACAATAGCTTCGTACCATACAGCACAAAGTGTCCTTTTGTCCTTTTGGAAAATCCCTCCGAGGTATCTTTCTATGGTATATTCATTAATCACCTCTACTTGTTATTCATTACCACTGTTTCCAAACTTCTAAATTACCCTTCATTGATTACACGAAATGTGCTGATTAGGTGTGTTGCGAATGCGAAAGACTGTAGTTTATTGCAATTTTTCCATTCAAGTATAACAGAAAAAAGGCTCTGTTGACGGAATAACTGTGCACGGACGGACATGGACCAGACGCATAAGCAATAAACAAGATTTGTCACACAACCCAGACATCCACGAGCCAGACTTCACACTGAGAATATAGATGGGAAATTCTAAAATTCTGCAGAAGGAATAATATGCTAAAGACCCTATCTAAATTCTTCTGAATATCAGTAAGCCAGAGAAAGGGACTAAAAATTATTAATTTAGACCTCGGAAAGTGAACACACGGATAAATGGGGGTACATTAGGATCAGCTGCATACGCACCAGGCGGACTTGAGTAGAAAAAATCCAGTTTATACGGAAAATAAAGCCCAGCTAAAATATACCAAGTAACCAAAAGGATTTGAAAATTAGAATAGTAAGAATAATTGACACCATGTTTGGTTATACAATCAGATAAGGATTACCAAGGTAGGCTAAGAGTAATAGTAAATTGTTTTTGTGCACAGCGATGCTTAAGTTTACGGATAGCTATCGCCTCAGCGTGTTTCAGTAAGCGCCCTTGGTCGCTTTTATAATTAACTGTAAAAGCTGTTTTGACATCAACCTTGTGGTTCATGTTGATTAGGTGTTTAGCCATGAACGGAGCTAGTAGTCTGCCACCTGCTTCTATCGATTTTTCAGAGTTAATTTGTTTTCCCACACATTCTGGAATGTACTATCCCCCCTCACGTGCAAAGCACGATTACTCCCTCCCCTGACGCATGTGTGATACACCCACACGTAAAATGGTATGTGGTGTAGGATGTGATGTAATCACTTGTGCAATTTTGAGGCTTCTCGCGAAGCATGTTTTCGGTTTTTTCAATAGTTATAACCCGAGCAGAGAAGATTCTACGTATAACCGACTTCGGTTTCCGTCCTAAAATCCCACTATTTATTTTCTCCACTGTGAAAATTTAGGACATCTTTCTTAGGGATGGAATAGATGATTGGTTTTAAAATGGACTATTAAACGGCGTATATTTCTTTTGAAATGAGGACAACTTTTTACGGTAGGTGTTAGGGCGTTTCAATAAATAGGCCAGGATTATTTCATGAAAACTGGGTAGTGTACGTTCAACTTTCGGAATTAATGCCCGTCTGAATCCATTACATTGCGGAGATATCAGTATCAGGCAACATGTTCCAACAAAAGTGCATCAAATGTGACGCATTTCAAGCATATAATAACACCGATAATGTGTGAGCAAGGAAAAATCTTTATTGCAAATTTTCATTTAAAAGCATACAAAAAATATAATTTGTCATTAAACTACCGCAACAACGGACTACGTTGCTACAGTTAGTGTAGATATGCAATAAAGTCACTCGTATTTCATTGCCATCTTCCATAACATCAGCCATACGAATACGATGAATCCTCTTGACTAAGGAATTCGTCAAGCCCCTCTTCTGCTGTCACGGACATAAAACGTGGAAATCCAAATATTTTCCTATCCAAATAGGCTTTCTACAAATTGATCTCTTTTTTGGACCATCTCTTGGAATCAGAGGTGTGTCTAAAAATGGCAGTTGGTTGTTATCTTCTTTACATGTAAGACCTGTGTCATTTTGTACAGAGTTGAGTCTGTCTTTTAGACAACATGCATCTTTATGACTATTTCATACCAAAATTATGTCATCCACATTCCACCTATAGGAATAAACTTAAGCAGTTGGATCAATGGACGGGTATGCAGTATAAGACATGTAAGTGTCAGCTAAAAAAGGTGCTAATGGACTCCTCATAGAAACGCCATCCGCTAATCGAAAGTGATCATTTTCAGATGTGAAATGGACACTGTAAGTATATAACAATAACTAATACAACTAAGTTAAATGAAAAGGAGATGAAAAGCAATTAGAGAAATATCAACAGCCTTAATCAGTGTTACATTAGTAAATTCCTAAATACGGAATTAACATCAGAAGAATACATTTTCATATCTTTTACATTCATGTCAATAGGACAGTTATCGAATTCAAATGTATCTCTCAAAGAGAACTTATATGATTGATTGCGTACAGGTCTTAGAATATCAGCTAACGACTTTGCCAGTTTATGTGTAGGAGAATGGCACTGGTTGGAATTGGGAGTAATGGGTTGTCAACTTACGAATCTTGAGCAACCCATAAAGGTTTGGAAAGTCAGGTTCTGTGTATTCCAATGAAGTAACCTCTTGTTTATCAATGACATCCATGAAACATAGTTCTATTAGGTGGGATGTTCATTTTCCAGTTCTCTGAAGCAATTAAAAAGCACATTGGTTTTGAATTTACCTCTACCATTAGGAATGGACTACATTTTTGTTTTATAGTCGCATTTTTTATTGCAAGTACACCTGATCCTTTGTCAGGTTTCAGGATAATTGCGTAATATTGGCTGCGTCATCCCTTTAGGGATCTGAAATGAGTCGAGGTTAGAACGCTTTTCTGTCCACGACATAAATTACGGAATTGATTTGCTACATCTACAAATTTAGCTTTAAACAGACCTTGGTCACCTGCCGAGGTAAGAATCACAGGACTCAGTTGATCATACACATTTTCAAACTGAGAATCGATTGTTAAGTCTGGGATGCTGTTTAATGGGATAGAAGAGTTGAAATCAAGTGACACCCCTCCTTCTCATGTACTGAAAGCTAATCAGATGATGAATTTGTCACATTCTCGTCATGATCTAATGGAAACAAGTTTAACTGATAGTCACTGAAACATTATCCAAGCGATTTCAATCTAGTATTCCCTTTCGTCTTATTAACGGAAGAGCTACAAAAAATTAATGAACTTGATTTGGCGAATTATGGAGACATCGGATAATATATCTGATGACAGTAAATGAAGTTCAATTCATCCACATAACTTCTCATTGGGATTTTCAGTGTGAGATTTCGTGGGGCAAATAAGATTCCAAAAATCTAGTTGCAGTTTATAAGGTTTATAATGCCATTTTCTAAGTACTCTATGTATTTTTCCTTTTCCTTAAATTATCCAGCTAAGGTGCACCGAAGAATAAACCATGAACCGAAAGTCAGTAACATGGATATAAGAAATAGTGTGAATAAAAGTGAATGAGATGAATGTTTTTTTATCCCTGTATTACGCTTAACTAAAATATTCATGTATATATGTATGAGGCAAAAAGTTGTGCGATATGATACGGTTATGAGCGATAATTTGTGCTCGAAACGTCTCAGTTAATATTACTCTACAACATTGTGTGATTTATCAGAATAAGATCTTATCCATAACGGAGTTATACTCTACCACAGTGTCCAAGTTTTATAATTATATCATTTCATTTTTTTCTTCCTCGTTGCAGGTTGTCAGTCTTCTCAGATA